TCAAGCTAATACTCTCGATTTGGCAAAACTAATCTATATATTAGCCCTATTTATATGAAAGAATTTGCCTAAAAATATACTGTTACCAAAAAAAGAAAAATAAATTAAGGGAAAAATCAGCTATAGCTTAAGAGCACACTTCTCTACAGTCAACAACCTGCAACACCCGCGGGACATAATTAACAATGGATTCCTTAATTTCTGGTATATTTACTAAGTGTTATAAAGACAGTATAAAGAAACAGATTTCACTAAATAAAACATACAATTTACTAACATATCCTCTGCTATCAATCATGGTATTACGTGGTAGATATAATTATTTTTATTATCTTCACATATCACTTTTTTTCTAGTGTAAACGGTCTGTACATCATCCACTGATGCACCTGAAGGAACAAATACAAAATAGAATAATTTGAAAATATCAATGCAGTTTAATATCAAATCTAATTATTTATAAGGTTCTTGTCCTCATCGAGGCAGTAAGACCAAAGCAAAGGGCAATTAGATGCATTGATCAAATTACTCATTGATTTTAACAAATTCCTTTCCAAGCAGCGTATAGTGAGGTTTGGTTTCACATCAAGTTAACAAGGAGACTGGCTGGGAAAATAAATACCAAGAATATCGTCAGATCTTTTTTATTACTTTACCTGAAACTTTGTCACCAGCTGTGAGATGTGATAGCGACCTAAAACTCACAAGGCCATGAACATCAGATACGATTTCCTTGATTTCTTGCTCCCTTCTGACCTTTTCCTTTCAGGCAAAGGAGCTTCCACCAGCAATGACTCGACTGTTCCACTGCTTCGCTGCACTGAACGAGGACGGGCCCAAGCAATAAGTGGTATCCCGAAGACCCCTACGTTAATGGACCATCAGAAGCTGAAAAAAGCCCACTCTACCTCTACTTTCTCTTCAAGATTACCTGCAGACAACCAATTCCGACCAAAACACTTATATACAAGAGAGCTCATCAGTATTCTGCTAGGTGCGTACTTGAAAACACTATGGAAGGCATGCAAATAATTATAAAGCTGGTTTCTCGGCTTCCTAATAAACACACAGACATTATTTCACATTTAGATAAACACCCTAGCATTAAGATAAATAACAGTGAAATTAGAAGGAAAAAGCGAAATTTATTCAAATTAGTGCCATTTGCTTCCTAATGCCAGCCTTTTTTTTTTTTTTAAACATCCAATTTGTTAAGCGTGTATCTGCTAATGCCAACAGCTGAATTCCACAGCCCTGCACGAAACGGAGTGAGGCGGATGTGAACAGGGGCAGAGCTGGACTCGGTGGAGAGCAAAGCAATGCAGAACAGTGCCCTACAACATTAAGATTGAATTCACTTGAAAGGGAGCTTATGATGAGACAGCAATTCGTTATCAGATTTGTCTATCTCATTAACTTACTTAAAGCACTTACACTGTATAATTACTTTTAACTGGGACTCATAAAATCACTTGATGGGTTTTTTTCGCCATTAAAAGTAACTGTTGTGCATAGATCTGTAGAACTCTTTATTTATTCGAGTGCTTTAAAACCTACTTCCAGGCCAAGCGTGCACAGACAAGGTGAGAGCGCTGGCCACACAGCTTTGCTTGGGTACCTGTATTAAGCACGAACTCTTCGACAGCGCCTGTGCGAAGGCAGGGGTCTGCTTATCGCGCAGAAAAATTTATCTGCCCACCTCTACCACTCATCTTTGAAGTCCATGCGAGGTGGAACTGAAGAAGGCTTTGTTGTAGAAAAGAAAGGAGGTCTAGACAATATCTTCTTCGCTGAATGTTCATCACTGTTTAATGATGAGCAAGGGAGAGGGGAGCCTGGTATTCATGTCCTTCAGTCCTCTACGTTAAACAGGCGAGTCACACACTTCAGTTAGAGCAGAAGTTGGATTTAAAAACATCCTGGCGTTGATTTTTGGCACTTAATTTCCTTACAGCAGGCACAGATTCATAGAATCATAGATAGTTTGGGTTGGAAGGGACCTTTAAAGGTCACGTAGTCCTACCCCCTGCAATGAGCAGGGACATCTTCGACTCCATCAGGTTGCTCAGAGCCCTGTTCAGCCTGACCTTGAATGTTTCCAGGGATGGGGCATTTACCAACTCCCTAGGCAACCTGTGCCAGCGTTTCACCACCCTCATTGTAAAAAATTTCTTCCTTATATCTAGTCTGAATCTACATTCTTTTAGTTTAGAACCATGACCTCTTTTCCTATTGCAACAGGCCCTGCTAAGAAGTCTGTCCCCATCTTTCTTGCAGGCCCCCTCTAAGTACCGAAGGGCTGCAATGAGGTCACGCAGCATCTAAAGAGTTTTAGAGCTACTTAACGTAATCTCACTGACAGGTAAGTGTCTCAAGTAATTAGGCTCTTCGGGAAAATCCAGTTTTCCTACACTAAACTAAATGAAGTGTCTTTTAACCCTGCAGAACTTGCAGTCTTGGGAGACGGACTGAAAAACGAAATGGAGCACGGGAACAAACATCAGTGTTCGTTCCCAGCAGCCCTCAGGCCAAGGCGGGCACTGACCACGCCGTGGCGAAGGTGTTTCGGGAGCCAAGGAAGGGCAAAGCGAGTTGTTGATCTATTTCACCTCAAGTTAACTGACTGCCAATTGACCTGCTGCTATTAATTTGTATTTTTCAAGTTGCTCCAAAGCTCTTCAAGCTTTAATTTGTTGGTGAAGTCAGTTTTAAGGAAAGTAAAAGGGAATACAATAATCTTTGAATCGAAATAAAGATGTTTCCGTCCCATTTTGTTCCTCTCAAGAATACAACTTCTCCATGACTGGTTAAAATTGCATTCTGTTCTACTTTCAAACAAATCTGAAACTTTGTTATTTAAATATAAATCAATGTCTCAAAAACGTGCGCATTAAATTTGCCCCACTGAGGAAGTTTCCAACCGTATTTTAAATTCAACAGGACCCCTGCGTTTTCACAGCCAACGTTTGTCAGGAGCAGAGTGCTACTGAACTGCGCGTGGTGCCTCTGGAAGTGCTCCTGGAAATCCCCACAGCAGGCTCAGTGATTTTTCTTTACAGACCCTTTTACTGAT